GCAATTTTACGATCGGAGCACCGTAGGTACTCCAATTGGGGTTGTTATATTATGACAACACCCCTTGTTGTCCAAAGAAGGGGACTCTACTTAGTATAGTTGTCCCCATTGCAAAATCAATTTTTGAAACTCAACACTTACAACATGGAACATGACTGAAAAACATTATTAATGATGGCTATTTTATTTTAAATTTTTATGATTGCATATGCAAACACATGAAAATACTCAGTAGTTCTTATTTAGAATCAGACAAAGATGGTGAAGAAGGGGAATTAACCCCAGGATTTTAGAAAAAATGGGAGTCTTGCAACAACTGAACAACTGAAGAAAGAAAACTACAGTAGTTGTTGACTTATTAAATAGTTAAATACAGAGGATCAACCAATACCAACTGAAGCAAAGGGATTAAACCCTCCAATGCTGGTAAGAATCAATAGGCATTGAAAGAAAGAATAGGCAAGAACCAGTACCTCAACTCCACCAATACAGAAAAGTACAATCAGCACCCAAACAAACCAAGAGGACATGAAGAGATAAAGTAGGACCAAAAAAGTGGAGGCCGAAATGACAAAGAAGATGGCACTCTTTGCATTAATGCTGAGTATTTCATCACCATCATCTTTTGCTGCTCCTGCAGCAGATTCCTGTAGATGGTTAAGAGGAAAAAGATCATCAACATACGTACTGATATATGTGCATGCAATTACGCGACATTTGATGCACTAACAAGACTTGGAAAATACAATGACATCAAAATTGGATATACAATAGGTCAATAGCACAGCAACAGCAGCAACAACAACAAACCCAATGGGGGGCAACGATGTACACAACCTTGCCCCTGTAAAAATAGAGAGGCTGTTTCCATTCAACTTGATGCATTGATGCATTTACTCCCAAAAACTTCATAGAAAGTAAGAAGCAAGGAAGTTTAATGTCCTATTTTGATCAAGTACATTATTTACCTGAAACAAAAACATTGTAAAAAAATGGCTCTTTTAGCTCCTTTGCAAAGGACTCTAGGTCAATAGCACAGCAAGTACAACAGTTTTCTGTTGACACATATTTCCAAAAGGAAAAAAATTGTGTTCAAAATTGACTGAGCTAGAGCATAGAGTAGAAGCATATTATTTTCATATATTGTCAAAGCAATAGTAGTGACTAGAAAGTAGAAAGTGGTTATCATATCTCAACTCTGTTGGGGAAATATCCTCAAAGCAACTAATGACCAATGGGGAAATATTGCTCGGTCATATTTGAACACAATTAGTGCTCAGTTGGGGAAATATCCCCAATGGTTATCATATCATCATCAACAACAAATGACATTTTTATGCTTCTAGTCATTAAAAATTGGTTATCATATCTTCAAAGCAACAAGTAACAAAAACAACAACACCACCAACAACAACAACATATAATCTCAACTCTGTTACGAAAATGTTTTCAAAGCAACCTAATGAAGAAATGCCAAACCCCAAATATACATTGCCATTTCTCCCCTGACTATGCATAATTAAAGTGTGGTACACATCCACTCCCCAACTCCACAGCCCTTTACACCTAGACCTCTAAGGTTCAGAAGGCCATTAACTATCAAAAAACATTTTAAGATATCAGCTTCAGCATTCATGCCTTCGCCATATCTCTCTAACATCTTTCCAAAAAATGGAACAGCCTTTGCCAGAAGTTTCTCATTTAGTCCTAACAAAACCCGATTCTGCTCTACCTCATTCCAATTTCACATCATTCATAATAAGCATCACTGGTTACTGGGTTAGTAAAACTAGCATTACAAACTTCAGCAGAAACAACAACCACCACCAAGCAATATATATATATATATATATATATATATATATTCCAGAACATCTAGAGGTCAGATAAATTTTTGCTAGACCATGTCTGAATAGGCTGCTCTTATAAAATTCTGACAAATAACAGTTGGGCAGGAATACATATTTTAATGGTTCAAGACTGTCAGTTGGGCCAAAACTTAGAGTACATCGGTTTTAGTAGACAACAGACAAGGTGATGGAAATGTCATAACTTAAAATGTTTTTTATCAAAAAATTTATATATTTCCAGATCACGCTTTTAGGTTAAAAATACCCAAAAAAATTATGAATGTAGGAGCACATAAGGAAAAAATAAAAAAGACCATTTAGCTAGCATAGGTTTGATGTATTATCACAAAGACCCTTGCACTATAAAAATATAGGACTCACCTTCCTTTAGGGGAGATGAGTGATACACTTTATAGATGTGGTGCATACATTTTCAAATGTGGAGGAATATTAGTGTGTATATTGTAAAATCATAGGCTGCAAGGGTCTTTTTAATAATACACCAAAGATGACCAAACCTCAAAGTGATCAACAATAACACCCAATAAAAATTGAAACAATGAATTTTTTATAACCTTTGGAGACAATTGATAATCATCACTCGCCTTGGATGCAGTAATTTTTGACCAAATAGATGCACAAAAAACTGTTCCAACAGCCATCAACCATAAAAATATCACCGAGTAGTCCAAAATGGGGCGATCTGGCGCATACAACAGCAGGTCCACTGCATAGCCACAAATTTTAGATAATTAATTTCATAAATCATTCAAATAAAATAGGTGGAATTTTAAGTAGACATCCCAATGTAATTTCAATAATGAATAATAGAATAGTGATCCAAAATCTAGCAAAATGTAGGAATTATCCAACAGTCAGGAAAACATGAATGTTAAGATCAGACACATCCCGGTCACATAAAATCATGAGTTACTTGCTTAGAGATTTTAAATTTTAAAGTACTAACAAGTACTAACACAAGAATAGCTGCACAAATCTAAGTTTACTTACAAATATTAAACATTGTAAATACTAATCATATACCAACCACTATTATACAAAATACTCTGTAATATATTATCATTAAAAAATATTAGTCACATAATATACAGGTCTACCTGCAGCAGTAAAAGTGACAATTGAACATGAGATCCTTCAAGGATCATAAAAAAGAAGATAAATATTCACCAGGATCAATCTCTAATATAAAATTAAAATCCGATAATTAACAAACTAAACCAACACATAATTTACCAAGCAAACAATTGACCCCATTTTCCCAACTCATTTGATGGTTCCTCCATTTAGGAAATCATTATTCCACCTTGTCCCCCTACACACACTAAACATTTTTTCCCAATTTACATAATTAGATATTTTAAGGGTCTCCATTTTGGCATTCATTACCAATATTCCAACTTGTTCCCTCATTAAGCACGTAAAAGTGTTTATCACCTACTCAATAGAACCAAGGAGAACAGAAGGACCGAAAACCCCAAAGGGGGAATAATGAATTAAATAATTACTTAACTGTGGGTAAAACACAAAATGTGATATCTGAAGTTTACCTTTATTTCCAGCATCCAGGGATTTCTGCAGGACATCTCCTCCAGATTTTGATATCATCACCACAGGAATTTTTATTTGTACTTCCTCATTTCCAGGACAACCCATCTCCACAAGAGCTGCATGAAAAGAAAAGGTAGTTTCATATCCCGAATGGTCTTCACAGTTCACACAATATCATGAGTGTAACATTACACCAAAGCCACATGCTGAGTGGATCAAGAAAATGGAAACACAAACCTTCATCATCGTTAATTATCACGATGCCTCCAGCACCTCCTGCTTGTGCAATTTTAGCCTTTGTTAAAAAATCACATTCACCACGTATAACTAATGCCATAGCGCCTGATAACTACAAGACAACAATAGAATGATAGATCTTTAAAACATCCCAGAGCTAAGTCCCAGCATAAAAACTTAAAGCTAATATCAAATTTTTTTTCCCATGAGGCATGCAACATTAAGATATAGAGAGCAGAGGTCAGTAACAAGAAATCTGACTCCATGAAGAGAGCAATCTTGTTCATGGACTGGAATGTTATTCAAAGATGTAGAGTTCATTTAAGAATAATTTGAGGGTTCTAAAGCACCTTCATAGCCACTACAATTGTTCCCATGCAATATAAAGAAATAAGATGCAGATGACAGAAAAGCTTAATTTAATTTGAGTCGATATCATGATAAATTGGTTGGATTAAGTTGCCTCTATAAGAGGAAGGTTAATCTTACAACAATTTGTTCTACAACAAATCGTACACCATTCATATCTTTCAATTGGATTATCTTTTAATGGAACCCACCGTAGGATGGAAAGTTACTATCTCATAGACTGTCATCCTGAAGTTTCACAAAAATCCATGGTCGTTTTGTTCTTCATCTAATAGAATAAAATGATTGCAATACATAGGCTTAAAATGTGTCAAAACTTGACTTGTTTGATTTCATACAAAATGACCTTGGATTTCTGCAAAATTTTAGGTGCCAACCTATGAGTTAGTAACTTTCAATCCTATGGTGAGTTTCATAAAAATAACCTCATTGAAAGATATGAACGTTGTAAGATTTGTTGTAAAAAATTGTTGTAAGATTAACCCTCCTCGTATACAGGCATAATTTACACTTTATTTCTTTATATTGCATCAACTTATTAGGCCTTTTTTAATCTTTAATCATTTTCCTCATTATATCCTTCTAGCCAATCATATTAAATGCCTACTTTTAGAATATAAAACCTTTCCTAGGCCTACAACCACAAGCTTGAGCTTGTGGTTAGGTTGGTTCCTTGACATGGTATCGGAGCCTTAATGACCAAGAAGTCATGGGTTTGAAAATCACCGCAACCAAAAAAATTTTTAAAAATTAAGGTTTCACGTGCAAGGCTCGAAGTGCTAGAATTTGAAAATATTTTCTAGCCCTACAACCACAAGTTTGAGCTTGTGGATTCCTTCACACCACCAAGTATCATCAACCTTTATCCCAACCATCTGACCTTAAAAGCATGGGACAAAAATTACCAGAAGGCCGAAAATGCATCATATTCTCTTAATTTAGACCCAGATTCATATCAATAATGTGTAACTACAGGAACTCATACTACGGTTAGGTCAATTACTTATTCAGTTATTCCCTCATGTTATCTTCTAAATCCACCCTGCCAACTAAAGCATGTTCTTATGGAGTTAGGGTACACCTCACTGAACCTCATGGCACATGTTTCAAATGTGTATGACATACCCCAAATTACTATAGCCCTGCTTTTGCTGACAAGTGTTCAAACAATCCTTTTCTATGCTGAACATTTTGGGTTCAGTGTGTAAGTAACATGTCATCTCATTAACCTTCATAATTTTCATGGTAATTTGTTGTATAGAAAATCACTGAAGTGGCAAAAAAACTCTATACTTTTTATTAATGTGATGGCATGGGGTAAGAATACCTTTGAGGATATATTGGAACAGCAATACAAGGGTTTTGTGTAAGAAACACGCAATTTGACACCATCTTTTTCCTCAGTAGGCAATAGAGTACCGAATGCTGCACTTAGTCCTCCTATGTCGTCCTCTTCGACACCATTCAACCATGCCTTGACTTTAACCTGCATGAGTAATGGGGACAGAATAAAACAAGATGTTCTCCATTAAGCTGTGGGGATGCAGACATTTTTTAGTCATCAATTCATCAACCCCTTCCTCTATCCTGTAGAAATCCCAATATCCAAGGGAAAAAAGGATCTTACAATAACAGAGAAATTATTTACATATTATAGAAGAACCAGCATGAAAGGGCCAGGGGGGGATGTGAATCCAGTATTTGAAACTAAATTCCCAGCACTTAAGTCTTAACTGAAGTCCATTTTAGTAGTGACTAGTGATAATCATTTTGAATAATTCATAATCAACCTTGAGTTAATTTATGCATTACTAGCTAATACAAGCTAAGAATTTTGGGGCTATAATGAACTCTTTGTCAAACATGTGAAAGGCACATAATTTGAATTATAAATGTATAATATCAATCACGGATTAGTTATCAAGGATCATTTTAATAAATAACATAGACAAGCCTTAAAACTATGTGGTTTTCAATATGCTCAAAACCGATTGTGTAGGTTTTCTGCTTAAACTCAACTCAAAAAATCTATGCTTCAGATTCTTCATGTAAGAACAATTTACCAACAAAAAACTCAAATTTTGAAACCCATGGGATTTATTTCAAACCCCATTGTCCATTTACATTAAGAGAAACATAACCCATCTCTTCAATTGTTAAATATACAGCTACATCATTCCCAGAATTTTCCCTGGCACAAAATTCAAACCCAAAACCGCTTATAATACGTAAAAGCAAAATGTGTAGGCGGTGGAAACTTAAAAAAAATACCAATTTGAAAGGATTGTTGCAGGTAGCAGACACGTTTGGGGAGGCACGCGAAACGTCATCGTTCGAGGCAGCTGCCGGTGACAATATACAAAGAACAGCGACGATGAATCCCAATCGGAAAATGGGCCGGAAATTTTCCATAGTTCCAGATCGATCTCGCCTCGTTTGTGGATTTCTCCGGTTAATTTCCCCCCTTTCTCTTCTGATTATTGTTCGTCGAATAGTGAGCGGAGGAGGAGAGAAATCTGTATGAGAGGGATAATTTCGGAATTTTAAGGTTAAGCCTCTAAAGTCATGTTGGCCCTCTTTCCTTAATTTTAAAGGTAAGAAGAACGTAGACTTTGAAAATGGAAATAATTCAATTAATAATTTTAACTAAAATTTTAAGAACTAAAACAAAATCCTACTTCTTCTCTTTAAAAAAGGCATTTTGTTTTCTCTTTTATCTCTCCCAAGGATTAAAAAAAGTTTTGTGATTTATCATACTACGTATTTTTCTATTCTCTATACGAATATTGAACAATAAAAACGCACACTAATTTATTCTATATTTTTTGTAATTTAAAGTATTTCACTATTTTAGATAAATTCATATGGAGTAGTATTTATCTTTTGTTTTAAATCAAAGTTTTTTGGATTCAAAATTTAACTATTTACTCTTATTTTTTGTGATTCATAGTATTTCTCTTCTTTAGCTTTATTAATAATACTTATTTTTTTTCTTTTGAACACTAATATCTCTATTACGAGATAATGTTTGTTCAAATATTTTGAACTAATTAAACTCAGAGAATCCGCAGAATTGATAAGATTAGAATTAAATTAGAAGTTGAAATTTTATGAAATTGATTAAGATGAAATTGAATTTTTCAATTCCAATTCATTTTTGGCATTGTCAATTCCAAATTACTTTTGTGCTACCAAACAACAAAATTAGAATTGTTATCTCCAATTTCAAATCTATAATTTAAATTCCGTGTACCAGCCAGAGAGTTATTGTTTGTACTGAGTTTACATTTCTTTGGCATAATATTTTTCTTTAGTTATATACTATCAAATTAATGTTTCAAAAACTCATGCGTAACTTTTCAATGTAAAACTCCCTCTACTAGCATTTCCATACAAAACTATGGTCTTCTTTTGCCCCACTCCCACATAGTTTTAGTCTTTTAGAGCACAAAAACTCACATAAGGAATGATATCTCACAAGACTAACAAATGACACTGATTCTAGTGGCGCTTTCCCTTCTTGCCCTTCTTCTTGTTGCCACCATGTCTCTTCTTCCCTCCTTTGTAAGGGGCAAACTTTTTTTCATGGGGGACCGGCGCGGTGGATGTAGATGGTTGTAACAGATTTCTTACATTGAGGACACCATTCCTGAAGTCACCTACGCTTGATTTCAGTACCCGGTCCTCTGGTTTACGTCTTTGATTGTCTCTTCCAGTGCTAGAGCCGGTGTTTATCCCGAATCGCCTCAGTATTAGACTCTGCAAACCAAACAGTTATCACCACTAGTTATAGAAATTTGGTAAGCAACCAAACAAAAAAGGGTCTGTGTTTGTTTATCTACTGGGGTGCTTGTCAAGTGGAGAGAAAACATGAAGGAAAGTAAGCTAAAATTCAATAAACTTGTTTTAGATTTTATTTGAAACTCAATTGAATTATCTATATTTATTTTAAAACCAAACCACAAGAAAATATTTTGCTTTGTCTAGCATTTTCCGTGATTCAAACAAGTCTAGAAGGAATACTCTACCATCCACAAAAAATTAGACCTATTGAGACACCTTATTCCTTAAAGAAGAGCCAAACAAGTTACATGTGAGTACGATGGATTTAGCTTAACCGAAAAATAGAATGGAATAAAAGTACGAAGTAGGATTTATGAAAAAAAAATTAAAAGTTTTAGAAAACAAGAGATTAAAGTAAAATACAAAAGGGAGTAGAACAAGCAACCTACCTCTTCCAACTCTTTCTTCTCTCTCTCCTTTTGTTTCTTCATCATCACTCGAGCCACACTAAGTGGTTGTCTATGCTTCTTCGGACTCTGAATTCACCCGATAATATTTATGAACTAAGAACTCCAGGGTGGAAAAAAAAATTCATATCAAATAAATATCAATGCCCTAAAAAATGATCACCTTCCCCCCAAGAGCAACAACTTTTTTGTTTTCCAATGCCTTCTTTTCCTTCCAAGTCATATGTGGCGAACCTGATAAAAAAAGAGTCAGAACCTAACAAGCAATGTCCTAGAAGAATATTGATTGAAACAGCTCATGAATTGGGAAAGACATGCATATATCAACAAAGCTTTGCGCAATCTAATGCAATAGTTCAGGATCTTTAAACATCTGCCTGCACGAAAAGATAACCCACCAAAAGGGTACCAACGAGAAAATAAACTAATAACGGTAGAACCTATGTAAAGTTATTCCTGCTACCAACCATTGTTGGGATGGAACTCTCCCATTTGCCTTATGATTCACAAATCTCACGCTCATTAATCAAAGAGTAAAAATATCGTAAATTGTGTCAACTACATATAGTAAATTGCATTAATGTCAAGACAAGACTATTTTTAAAACACCAAGTGTTAATGTTCAAAACAGAGGTGAGTAAAGTAAATACAGAGTAAATCTGAAGAGGAAGAAATCATGGTTCCCAGAAATAAAATAAGAGGAGGCAATAACTTTGGGGTTATAATGAAGCACGTTTGGCACAATTATCATAAATGTCTCTTTTGTTGTAAAGAAAAACAAGAAGTATGAACTAGAATGGAAAGAAACCATGTGAATTACCTATGAATTGAATGTCTTTCAATATAGACTTGAAGTCTATTCTTTCATTTGGGTCTTCTGCAGTAGTTTTGGAATGCTCAAATTTCTTTCTTGGCTGCTTCATCTTTGAAGCTGTTGAAAAATGCCATCTCATCACATACCAGGATTAGCATTTACATAAAAGCAAGAGCTACTTGTGTATATATCATTTGCCAAGGTTTTGAAAGGCGAAAATGAGCCTCAAGGCAGTGGGGGAAAATGCTTGCCTCACAAAAAATTAAAGCTAAAATAAATACTAAAAGGTAAAACATAGTCTCAAGGCTGCGGTTCCTGAATTTTGCATAAAGTAATACCCTAAATTAAATCTGGATATACAAAATAGAGAATTATCCTAAAAATTAATAACAGTAACATAAAACACAAAGTCAGAAATGCCTCAAATCCATCTTCAGATTTCAAACATGATAAAATGGAAAAAATTTCATGATTTTTTTAGTTACTTAATAACGAAAATAACACACAAAATATTTCCACTGTAAATACAATTAAATTTTAAGTTAAGAAAATTTCATAAAAATAAATACAGAAGATGAAGAGGGAGAGTGATACTGAAAAAAAGGGACATAAATTTAAAGTCTAAATAAAAAGCAGGGCCAGCCTGAAGCAGAAACAGGCCATGTGCGAAAACAAAAAAAAATTGGCCTCTATTGACTATCATATCTGATAAAAGTAAAATTTAAAGAAATTTCATAATAATTATTGAGTTTGTTGCAATGAAGAAGAAAACACCACTACAAGTCTACATAAAAACAGACATTCTCCTTGCACATTTTGATGCAAAATCGTCAATCAAGCTCTCCATTTGCACTTGTTCCAAACTCTCACATTTGAAGATTTTGAACCAATTAGCAATAAAAACTTCTAAAAGAGGAAAAATTTTAAAAAAAACAATTTTTTATCAAACTACAATTCATTAATCATTCTAATTAAAAATCAAGTTTCATAGAACTGTAGAAGAAGAAAACATAAATCACACATTTAAAAATTTTAAAAGACAAATAAAACTATGGATTTGATCATTAAAATCAATAAACTATAATTATAAAAAATCATATGTTCATCCCGGAAGACTGAAGTGAATGCGGAAGTGTTGGACGGCGTCGCGGTAAGGTGGGAAGCCGGCCGCAGTGAAGATGACGCAACTCTTCTTCCTCTGTCTCTGCCCCTCGGTCGGTTCCCTCTAGGGATGGGTTCGGTTTTTACCTAAAACCAAAGACAGAACGGAAGGCATATTGGCAGTTCGGTTTGATTCGGTTTTGTATTAAAAAAAGAAAACCAGTCATTATACGGTTCGGTTTTTAGCGGTTTGAATTTCAGTTTTTTTCAATTCTTTTGGTTTTTTAAAAAATTAATTTAAAAGTGAAATAATATTTTGGATAGAGACCTATTATTATATAGATATGCCAAACAATTAGTAAAGTTTGTAAACCTACAAGTAAAACAATAAATAAACTACAATTACAACTAAAAAAATGGGAGAAATGTAGTAATTTACAGTCGAAAACTGTAAAAATGCAGTTTAACTGGGAGAGAAGCAGTAATTTCCAGTCCCAAACTGCACTGACCAATCAAAAAACATATGATCAAAGATAATGTTTTTATCCAAGAAACACCAAGAAGGAGAAATGGTGAAAAGGCGAAAAACCTTTGTTGCACAGCGCACTGCTGAGAACAGACCCGCACTTCAACCGGTTCCACACACACAACAACTGCTTGGTTGGCAATTCCAAAAACAGCTCCCATTGATATGATCAATATCCAAGAACAATCACTTTGATGTTGCGGTCTTCTTCAAGACAAACAACAAATGGCCAAGAACATTTTCAATTACGTTCTTTTATGAAGTAGTTAAAATAATTAACTGCTTTTAATATTACAATTCTCACTGTTATTATATTGCAATGAGCATATTTTGATATTTGTGCATTTCAAGGATACCCAAAATATATCCAAAACATTTGCTGGAAAATTACCCAAACATTTAAAAAAAATTAAAGAACATATGCTTCATACCCAAGCATTTGCTAGAAAAAAAAAAGAACATATGCTTCATACCCAAACATTTGCTGAAAAATTACCCAAACATTTACTAGAATGACTTGATAAAAAACATTAAAGAACATATGCTTCATACCTTCTGCGATTGAAGAAGAAACTGGCGATTGAGGAGTCTGATTCAAAATTGTTGCCAGCCAGGGATTGTGGCGAACTGGACACTGGAGACTGGAGAGTTGGACTGCGAGTCGGTGATTTCAGTCTGATTCACTTCGGATTGTGGCGAACTGGCGAAGTGGCAAGTCGGATGTTGGAGCACAGCGAACTGGCGAGTTGGATCCTGGAGCGCGGCGAAGAAGATTGGAGATCTTGAAGAGCCCAGCGAACAAGATTGGCGTCTCTGCGAATCTGAGATGGAGGAGTACGGGAATTCGCGTAAACCTAAATGCGTAAATTGCAAAAGCCTAAATTCCTGGTAATTAAACTTTAGGTTTTTAGCGGTTCCGTTCGGTTTTAAATAGCCAAAACCGCAATCAAAACCGAATGCAACCGGTTTGGTTCAGTTTTTTGAGTTCGGTTCAGATTTTAGTGGTACGGTTTTTTTTGTATTGTTCAATTGATTTCAGTTTAGTTTTCGGTTTTCAGCTTTTCGGACCCAGGCACCCCGCCTAGTTCCCTCACTTCCCTACTTCCGTTTGGGGCTGCTAAAGTGCGAAGGACTTTTTTTTTGGCCAATTTGGGCCTCTTAATATATACTCTACTCATCCTACAATCTTTTAAAAATATTGGGCCCTGTTTTTCTTTGGGCCTGCGCGGTTGAACACCCTGTACCGGCCCAAGGCCGCCCCTCATAAAAAGCTGGAATTTTTTTTAAGAAGTAACTGCAATATGGAGCAATTTTTGACAAAAAAAAAATGAAGGTATATAATGAAAAGGGCAATGCTAGAAGTACACTAAATCAACATAGACACACGTAGATACATTCATATGTACACCAAGTCAACACAGACACACACAGACACAAAATGTTTGTGCTGCACAGACATTTTGTGTCTGTGTGTGTCTGTGCTGGTTTGGTGTACATATGGAGTATCCCATGTTGGTGTACCCTTAGGTTAAATGAAAAATAACCTTATCCCGTTGCAAAAGAGAAGTTGCACTAAAGATGGGAGGCGCTGAAGTTAAATACTTTCGTCCCTAAAAAATTGTCACATTTTGATTTTTTTGGTCAAATTATGACATTCTTTGACCACAATTAAATAAGGTTTAAAATAATTAAATATTATACAAATTTAATATTTCAAAACTATATTTTAAAATAAACCTAATTTTACTAAATTTATAATAAAACTAAATATACGTTTTCCATAATTTGTGATCAAAAAGCATCATAATTTGACCAAATTGTGTCAATCTTTTAGAGACGGAGAGATAGAAACACCGAATAAAGTGTTGCGCAAGAGACGGAAGACCAAGAAAAAGATATTCTAATTCATCCACAAGTTTATGACATTTCTAAATAATGTACAAGCCCAAAATGTTTTTTTAAAAGGCCCAATAGCTTTGTAAAAGTAACCAAGTAAACTAACATGTGCTCAAAATTTCATTAGTGCCTCGCTTTTGAGTTTCGCCTCACCGGCTCAGCATGGCAGGTCGTACGACGTGTGTAGTCCTACTGAGGCTTACGTCTCTAAGGGCTTTTAGAAGGCCCGTCTCGACGCCTTACCGCCTCGAACGCCTTTCAAAACCATGTCATTTACTCGTGTCAACCTTTTTCTCAGAGGTTTTTGTTAAACTTAGTCATAGACACTAATCCCAGATCAAGTTCTTGGAAGATCCTAATGACCTAATCTTTCTCTTTTCCAAATCCCCAAGTTACCTTCTCTCAGTGAATCAAGGGCCCTGAGGGTTGTAAAACGAACGAATCGAATCGAATATTATGAAATTTTATTCATATTTGAAAAATGATAGCATTATTCATATTCATATTCGTTTTTTATTCGAATAATTATTACTATTTTTATTCGATTTGATATTAAATTCAAATATTCTTATTCATATTCGTATTCTTTTTATGAAATACGATTTTTTATTTTTTACGTTTTATAGCTTCAAAAACTAGTAAAAAAAATCGCTTTAAATATGAGTAAAATATAGAAAAAGTACCAAAATATGAACTCCATATTTTATCTTTAAAATATGGAGTTCGCACTGTGGTAATGTGACACTGCAGAATTCGATGTGGCCTAAACAATTCTAATTTCTTTCCGTCAGTATAATTCTTTTAAACCTGTCTTCGTCAGAATTCTTGCAAAGAAGGATGACACTTGTGACTGTCACAAAACAATTCGAACATATTTTGTTCGACACCAAGTTCCTTTAAGAACCCCTTCATCCATAACCAATCTTTGCAAGCTTCTGTTTCACTTTGTCATTGAATAAAACTAAACCAATCACTGTGACTTTTACACACACACACGTGCAAAAACAGGGGTTTGTTGATAGAAATAAGCACAAGTACAAAGGAACAATCAGCTCTCTTGAGTGGGTTTGTTGATAGAAATAAGCACAAGTACAAAGGAACAATCAGCTCTCTTGAGTCTTGCCCAGGATAAGATTTGGACAAGGTCTAAAAACACTCCTTTCATCTCTCATATCTTTTCTGAAAACAGAAAAATATGGAACATTTCCAAAAAGGGTAATGTGATTTCTATAGGTTGATGTAAGGAGCCGAAAGGAATCAGTCATCAACAACCTTCTTGGTCCGGGTTATTTCTGGCAGTGGGCCGTAGAGACACATACGCAGCGTCCCCTCCACCATTCTCTCGTGGAAATAGCTCTTGTACAAATCCCACACCTCCTCTCTGTCCATCCAATAATGAAAATGATATTTAGATACAAAATTATTAATTATAATTACCAATTTCCACAGCAAGCACATAGGAGTGTAACATACGTCTCAAAACATAGCACTGTGTCTGTTACAACACGCCGACCTACGCTCCTCGAATGCAATGGCGTGGTGTATCAAGGGGGCAGATTGGTCACCCGGCCTCCACTCACTACTTATACACCACATACTTTCTCCGTCCCAAAATAAAGTTGCACATTTTTTTCGGTTGTCTCCAAAGAAAGTTTACACTTCCTTACTTTTCAATTAAGAAATCAAATATGTAGCTCATAATGTGCATCTCTCTTCTACGCAAATTTCAACCACACTTTTTACTTTTCAACACTTTTTTAAAACTCTTTTAAGTCAAATCGTAAACTTAATTTGTGAGAGACATGTGTTACTATTATAGTGTTAGTTCGACCCAATGGCTGAAAATTCTTGAGGATCAGCGGAACAGAGGAGATCAAAGATTGAAGAGTATGCCAGTGTTGTGGTAAGTCTTGTGTGCCTCTTTCAACTTTAAACAAAAATCCCAGCTTTAACCCAAACAACTAGACCTAAATTGTGTAAGCTTCAATCAACCTTGTTGCATAAGTCTTGAGGCGTACCGCACACTTGTCACCTAAATTCTTTAGGCTTTCCTAGTCCAGCTTTCATATAAAGCCTCACATCAACTTCCCCCTAAATTTCACTAAACGTGCCTCATTGTGTGCTTCTATTGCGCAACTACGACCACTGCTCGCATTGCAACTACTTGTTGCTCAAAGTCTCACACTATCCACAAATAAGATGTTCGTGAACAATGAAATCAATGGAGTCGATTAGTCGAACCTGACTTGAGGAAGTGTTAGCAGTGAATAGCCCTTTACATCCATTTGCATATCAAGCACAACCACAGTTAGTCGAGACAAGCCCAATGCCTCCATATCAATCAACTTCTTGATCCTGTAAATAGTTGAGAATAATATTTTTTTTATTTTTAAAAGAGATTTATAAAAGAAAATATTTTTCTACAGAATAAAGAAAGAATGTGTAAATAGCAACACACAAACATACAATCCATCACAAACCTGCTTGGTGTACCACTAGCAATATTGACACGGTTCTTCAGAAAGGACACCTGCCAATGGATACAAAAAGAGGATGGATTAAGTGTGCAACTCAATAATGAGGAGGTCATATGCTTATCTTTGTCATATCCAAGTAATATAAGTATATACTTCTATCAACATTATCACTTATAAATCAAAAGGGAAGAAACTCTTCAGAAAGTAGACTCTCTAGAGTTACTAAATACTGATTAATGATGATTAAAGCCCACCAAATAGACGTGGGGCCTTATTCATTACAAATTTAAAAGATCTACACATGCACACTTTTTCAGGGAATGTGGTTCTTCTTTTGAAGCAAGAAATACACCATAATTCTAGTACACCAGAGAGTGGCAATCTAATAAACCAGGCACCTGCTCATCAATCTTCATGTGCTTGGAAAAGAGCTTTGCAGGAGGGCATTCCTTAGTGAACAGTCTCAACTCCCTTAAAAACACGAAGCAATCTTGAGTGCAAAGTCTTGAAGGACAAGTAATCAAGCAGATACCTTTGTTTTATCAAATGAACTTGGTATTGACCTGAGAAGTTCCAGAGAGCGTAGAGCTGATGAGCTAATTACAATAAGTGCAGGATGGCCAGGTTCAACTTTCCCAGCTTTGAATTGATTTCTACAAAGAAGATCCTTCCACGAAGATCCAAAAGCAGCCTTCAAATGATCTCCAAGAGTTCTTTTGTTTTCAGCTTGATCTTGAATGAGTTCGACCATGCAAGTATCTGCATGATACAACAAAAGTATAACATAAAACTGAAAGTGTAAATTACACCCTTAACTCCTTAAGTTTGAATAAGTTAATCAGAAAACCTAACATAGAATGAAAACTAAATCAGAACGAAAGCTAGAAGACAAAATATGACTTCTTCTTATGTCCCCCCCTTTTTGGGATTTCTATTGTTACTTCATCAAAGGAACTTATCACCATTTCAATGACTAAGTTGCAAGAGTTAGTCAACATAAAAACTTCACATTGACTATAGAAGTACTTTTATTCACCATGGTATCGTCTATCACGCAATGAGGAAAACTTCCATGTTCCACCAATATTTATTTTATTTTACCGAAAAAGTAACTTTTTTCTGGAAGATCCTCAAAAAAGAACTTGAATACTAAACCAATTCTACTAAACATTGGAGACAATTACTTCTTTATCTAAATTTTGTTCGTGTTTTGTAATATATGTCCTATTTTCACAATCTGCACCTAGATTGTGCCTATATACTGTATGCCCAACCACAACCTTCTTTAAGAAAAATATGAAATTTAGTCAATATTAGGGAAGACTAATAACTACTAGTTCATACATGGATTCTGCATATATGTGTTCTTCTAATCCGATTAACGCAATCAAATAATGCAATGCAGCTTTAGATTGAATTATAAAACAAACAAATAACCAATTGGGCATCAAACACAACAGAAATCGTTCCTGGTAAATTCATGTAGCATATAAAGAGAGATGGAGATAGGGGAGACCTTTGAAGGATTCGAGCTCGAGAGGAGAGAGCTGAACCCGATTTGCAGATTGGTAGTGATGAATGAAGAATTTGAGCTGCTCAGACGCCGTCGGATATAGTGCGGCGCCGTTTTCCTTTTTGCCATTGCTGGTGTCAGCCCTCCCGTTCTCCTTATCGTGCCCCTTACGCGCGCCTTCCTTCTTCGTCTTCAATTTCTTGGGACGCGGGGAAAAGTCGTTGTTCGTCTTCCTCTTCTTCTCCTTGCCGCTGCCCATTATCCGCTGCCGCCGCCGCAGTGAGTCCCTCTCTCAGTTCTAGTGCGGTGTCCCAAGGCTGCTTGGCCGGGTGGGTGCCTCCTAGGTCTATTTTTGTTCTGTTCCAAGAGCTACACTTATTTTTACTATGGATGGTGCCACCAATATGGGTGCACTCATATTTCGCACAGACAAACACAGACGATAATTGGAGGAACTTGATAGTTATTGCTACAAAATCAGGAGTATTCAGCAGCAATTTTTTTGTTAAAATAAGAGTAAAACATTATAAATACACCAAAATATAAGTTTTACATTTTCATTCTCGAAATAGAAGTAAAAATACATTTACATTACCAATCAATATCATGTATATTACCAGAAAGTATAGTAAAGTGTACATATGCAATGTCACGTTATCACAATGCGACCTTTTATTTAAGAAATAAAAATATGAAACTCCTATTTTGGTACTTTTTTTATGTTTTATTTCTATTTAGCAATGTAATTGAGATCGGGCCGGACCAGACGGTCCAACCGATCGAGCCACGACTCAGAAATTTGTCCGGCCTGGTTCAACCTCCAAACCCATTTGGCAATCAATCCATGTGTAAGAAAATATATTTGAATATATAGGTCTTGTTCATCCTAGTATTTGAGAAAACCTTCAATTATTTTACAAACTTAATATCTATATTTATCATTTTAATCAACTAATTATAAGTTTGAAATACTAAATGGCACGTAGTATATAAGAAGCTTGTAGGAGCAATATAGATATTCTTACTGGGTCGTTGATCCAGTTCAATCTTGTTCGACTGATTGACCCTTGAGCCCCTTGCTTCGCCGGTTTGATGCCCGGTCCAGTTTTAAAAACATTACTATTTAGAGTGATTTTCTTTCAATGTACAGAGTATTTTTGTTGCTCATTTCAAGTATAAAACGTTATTTATAGTTCAAAGAACTCATGATAACGAAAAATACTAATACTAAGACAATGTGGTGGTGAGAAATCAAAATATAGGCCAAGGTCAATGAGCTACAAAGGAAAGTACCCTGGTAGCAAAAAAGGAAGAAAGGGAAAACATAAGTTATCAAGGTCACCTCACTCCAATAATTCGTGAGATATCCTTGTGGAGCACTTGATTTTTTCCCAAGTCGAGAAATTTGGGCGTGCACAACACCAACACATGAATGAATCTTTTCCAAGAATGTTATACACTTATACATTAATGTCAAGGTAGTAAAGAAAAATTTTACTTTGACATGTATAGTGAAAATAATGTACTCTATTTAAAAAATACAAATAATTACTATCCTTGCCATTAAATATGCACCTAACATAAACTTTTTGAGCTAAATTGAATGAATCTTGAAGCGTCAATTCAATTTAATAAAAGTTGCATTGTATATTACTCCCTCCATCGTAGAATCATCTTTCAGATTTGATTTAGAATAATTTCTAATTAAGTAGAGGGATTCTAATTGTGCAAAAAAAGAATCAATATGAATACCATATTCATTTTTTGAAAAGGAAAAAGATTAATAAGGAGCGTGTACTCATAACACTCTTTAAGTTTTAACCTTTTAATTAATTAAAGAGTATAATGAGTAATCATTTTTAAATAGTGAACCCAAAAAGTTCTCCTAATCATTTTTAAATGTCCATATTCATCATTCATCGTTCATTTATCTGTCCGTCCGACCGCCCACAATCCCCTCTGACCGCAGTCCAGCAAAAGTCCAACCACCGTTCACCGCCGCGCCGTCCTTAATACTCTCCTCCCCTATTTATAGACTACTAGGGCTACAATGCACTTCACCTCAGATCTCCCCATTTCAGACCCGATTCGATCTCATCGGGTTCAATGACGAGAGGCTATGCGGCGGCGGCGGCGGCGGAGGAGGAGGAGTACCTGTTCAAGATCGTCATCATCGGGGACTCGGCGGTGGGGAAGTCCAACCTGCTTTCCCGATACGCCATGAACGAGTTCCACCCCCACTCCAAGACCACCGTCGGGGTTGAGTTCCAGACTCAGACCCTCCGGATCGACGGCAAAGAGGTCAAGGCCCAGATTTGGGACACCGCCGGCCAGGAGCGATTCCGCGCCGTCATCTCCGCTTACTACCGCGGCGCCTTCGGCGCCCTCGTCGTCTACGACATCACCCGCCGCACCACCTTCGATAGCGTTCCTCGCTGGATCCAGGAACTCAACAGTACGTCATCTCTTCCAAAACTTCAGTTCTCCAGATGTCTTTGAGTTATTTGTTTCGATTCATGCATTCAACTTAAATTAAACACACCCTCTAATACGTATTATGTTTTAATCTATTTAGATGATCTTTAGGTGATGAAATGATGATAATTGATATACGGAGTAGTTTTGTAGGTCTAGGAAAGATTTTTTACTTTGACAAGCCCCTCACATGCAGACGAGATTTTTGTTTGCTGAAGCCTTGCACCTGAACAACTAAAAAGGTTTTTGTTTTTTTTTTGTAAACTTGGTGACGGTGGGGTTCGAAATTGGCGATCTGGGGTGCAGGGGGGTTTTGAGAGCATAAAATCTTTCCCGGACTTGCAACCACAAGTTTGAACTTTTGGTTGAGGGTGAAGTTCGAAATTGGCGATCTTGGGTCATAATTTATGATCAATTATTTTTTTTATTATTAAAAAGAGTGTGATGGTATGTATATATGGATGGATGCAGCTCATTCTGAAACCACAGTTGCAAGGATGCTGGTGGGCAACAAAAGCGACTTGGGGAAGATAAGGGCTGTGAGTGTGGAGGAAGGGAGGAGCCTCGCCGAGGCCGAAGGCCTTTTCTTCATGGAGACGTCCGCCCTAGACTCCACAAACGTGACGCGCGCTTTCGAGATGGTCGTCCGCGACATCTATAACAACGTCAGCAGGAAGGTCTTGAACTCTGATTCTTACAAGGCACAGTTGTCTGTGAACAGAGTTTGCCTTGGCAGCAGAGATGATTATAACAATAATAATGGTTTGGAACATGATAATGAGGAGAAGATTAACAAGGGCTATTCTTGTTGCTCCAGATAGCTACTACTCCACTATATATATACCTGTCCAAAGAAGAGTTTGTTTGTTTGTTTAATAATTATATCTGTACGTAATACCACTTACCAAACAGGTTGGCCTTCACATTTCTTTCTTTCTTTCATAGTGTCTTGTTGTGAACGAAAGGCATTATACGGAGTATATTTCATTTTCATGTTAAATTTATTGCTAAAAATTAAAGGTTGCAACTCTTTCTATCTCTATTTATCCTTTAAAAAATATATATTGCCTGCATAAATTTTTACAACCAATTTTTTTTTCCCCAGTATTTTCCCACATTTCAGTACCTTTTATAGGAGGTATATCCAGATATATTAGAACGTTGTATATCAAAATTTGGATTTTCTTTAATAATTAAGAAAATGAGCAAAATAAGTAGAAGAAAAAAATACATATACAATAAAACTAAAGGAAATGAACATTATTCTCCTCTAGATTGAGTGCTAAGAAATAGATGTTTGCTCTTTTTATATTATTAAATTAAGAAAAGTATGAACATATACTACATTAAGATAGAATCAATAACACTAAAAAATAATAGAGTTAGATTTACAATATACGGAGTAATTTGTTAAAAGAGTCAATTCTACCATTTCTACGTCGTCTTACCTTGAAATTGTTAAGGTTAGGTTGGAAAAGCATTGTGATCCCTACCCATAGAATTCTTACCCCATAAAATGTTTGATATTAGATATTGATACAAAAATAGTTTATTTAGATTTCTTATATCAAATATTTTCTGCATGTTATTTTATTTAATTAATATACAATATATATTTTATTTAATTATAGATCAAAGGTTGAAGACAATTGACCGAAAAAAATCAAAACTGGACAAATACTCAAAGACGGAGGTAGTATAAGCTATTATGGGGTTAGAGAATGAAAACCTAAATACGAGTATACGACGCAAAAATTGTTACTCATCCATTCATCTCTCAAGTAAAATAAATGGATAAAATGTACTGTAAATCTTTTTAGAGCAAAAGGGAAAAGATTGAAGTTTTTTACACATCCGAGGGGGTACGAATTTACCTTTAAACCTCTTTTCAATCTTGTAAGGGTATGGTAAATCCATACCATATCCTAACCCTCCACAGTACAAATTCATGAGATGAGTGAACAACACTCAAGAATAAGGTGCCCTTTGATCATACAGTACAACTTTCTCTCCTTCCTCTGCGCGAAAAGCAGCTTAAATTACCCAATAGAACTAAGATATTACAGACCCCCACCCCACCCCCACCAAGAGCCCTAGGTACAACATTTGATGGAGCTACATCACACACAACACTAAACTACCAAAGATCAGATATAAATCTGGAAGTGGTTCATCCCAAACCTCAATTGGTGAAACTTTTCATTACCTGCTCAATCTGTTGCCATCGAATGCCGAACTGAGAGCAGACGTACCATTAGTGAATGCCATCATCTTCAGCAGAAGCCTTTTGAAGTTTTGTTCGTTAATCTTCAGCAGAAACCTTTTGTTTCTTCTTCCAATGATACGCAGCTTCCAAAATTTTAAGATTCGTGGTCTGAGTCTCTTCTGGGAAGAGATAGTCTATGTACTCCTCATACCCTGATGGGCCATCCTCGGTCTCGATCTGACGCCTCTTTTTCAGTTTCTTGGGCAGCTTGGACCGGACTAACTCAACATCTCCAACGTCACCAAAGCTGCTTTCCATGTTTAGCCATTCTTCCAAGAGCATCGCCCTCTCCTCTTTCAGTTCGGGAGCCGATGTTCTGTAGTAACTTATCGCTCTTTCAAACACCCCTATTGTTGTAAAAGAAAATAAATGCATAAGCTCATGCAAGCATTTATCATATCATAAATATTTGACCAATGTATATTTTCCATTAATCTTAGGTAAGGTACAAGTAGCGAGCAACTATCATAAATGGTGAATCATTCTTTTTTTATTGGTTGATTTAGATAAATTTACCATGTGTGATATAACATACTCTTCACTGGCATTTCTTTTAGGAAATTACACACAAAAAAATAGCATTGTTTGACCAGAGTGCACTTTTGGGTGGGGGAAGGAGGGAGGGGAAGTGTCTTGGACATGAATCTTTTAATTTCTTTTTTTTTCAATGAAGTGGAAAAGAATGTTTTACCTCTAGCCCGGTGTAAGCCTTCCACCTTTTGTTCATGACTGACTTCTTTCCCTTCTGGATCAGAGGAATCTCCTTCTATAGCAGGAGCTTCGAACTTGGCATAACTAATCCATACTTTCAAATGTTTTGTGCGGTTCAAAAGCCTCTCATACAATGCTCTTGTCCTTTCATATTCTCCTTCTGATATCTCAAAGTCGATGTACGCCTGATTTTTTCAAAAAATATATATTCATGTATAAAGTGTTTATTTACAATCACCCATGTCATTACATTGAAAACATCCCTGGTTCCAAATTCATTTGGACGTAAATCACATTTTGATCATCATGATCATTATAATTAACACTCTTTCGGGTCAAGTTCTACGAAATACATGCACCATATAAACTCCAATTTTACCTTGAAAATTGAGTACCCCACAAAGTACATGGTCATGTAAATCCTATAAATAGAAATGCTAAGCCCCCACTAGCAACACCAAAAATTCTAAATGCATAAAATCATGATAAATACCTTCCAAAGCAACTCTGGCATGTCCAACGCAACTTGGTCGATTGCAAGCTCAAAAATAGCTCTCGTCCGCTCTGTTTCATCTAACGACTTCTCGAGCTCAGCAAATTTCATCCAGGCATAACAGTTCTCTGGAGACCATTGTAAATATTTCTCATAAAGTATTCGGCAACGATCAATGTTTCCCAAGTGCAATTCTATTTCAATGTACTTCTTGAATATCTGTACGTTCAACAGAACCAGTCGATAAACATCAGTGAATGTTGAAAAGAAAGAGAAACACAAGAAATAAAAAACGTAATAGGGATCATTGATGGGTAGGAAACCTTGTCTTTGGGGGCCATTCCAATTGCCGTACCAAGGATTGATCGGGCAGCATCAAGCCTTAACTGCCTTATTTCAAACTGTGCTGCTAATAGCCATATCTTCGCAAATGAGAACTTTTTATGAGGGATCAATTTCAGACACTCCCTGTTGATAGTAAAATATAAAAATTATTAAATACCCTTTGAAAGCTTGCGGGTTTGCTTGGAATCTGTAAATTTATTAAGAAAGAAAATAGGGAGGAAATATATGGCAATTCTGATTTCTGAATGGAAACAAAAAATTAGTCAAAATAATAAAGTACTTGTAATGGAAGATGTATGTGCAAACTTATTTTATACACACACACACACAGATATATATATATATATATATATATATATATATATATATATATATATATATATACTCCTTATATAATTTAATCAAATTTGATATTTCTAAGTCTTATCCAAAGAAATTCTTAATATAAAAACTACTGTAAACTGAATATTGCATGAAGGGGCAAACGAATTTACCTATAAACTTCTCTGGTGCGTTCAAAGTCGTGTGCATCAAGCTCCTCATATAAGGCATAATTGATCCTAACAATTTTAAAAATAAACAGTAACAACTAATAAATGCATAATAATGTTAAAAAAAACATTACAACAAAAACACTTTTCTTACCACAGGTAAATATATCTCTGCCAATACCGTTTCTCTTCGGCAGGAGGCACATTGGCAATGGCTCTCTCATAAACATCCCTAATCCTCTCCTTGATTCCGACACTTTCCTCCAGCCGAATATAGTCAAACCAGGCATCATAATTATGTGTATTCTTCCTGATCTCATCTTCGTACTGAAACCTCCTCTTCCCAACAATGGCATCCTCTATGCCATCCTTGTCACCATACTGCTTCTCAAAAGCCACGTACTTCTTATACAAATCCTCAGCCCGACCTTTTGGGATATGATCGAGTGCAAACTTATATATGCACCTGGCCCTTCCCGACTCCTTGCACATCTCCTCAAATTCTGCAAAAGCAACAAACAGTTGTTCTGCCTCTTCATCATCGGCCAACTTATCCACTGCCCTCTCATAGCAATTCCTTGCCCGGGAAACCTCCCCATTTTTCATCTCAAACTTGGCAAAACGAATCCAAGCACTAACTTTTGGATGGCACTGAACAAATCTCTCAAATATTGCTCTAGCCCGATCAACCTCATTATATCTCAGCTCAAACTTGATATATGAAAGCCAACCCTGTTGATCTGGTTGCCATGACATCCACCTCTCAAAGACCTGTCTTGCTCCAGGGACATTCCCAAGCATCTCTTCCATGTGAATATACTTATACCAAAGCTGATCAATCCTGGGCAATATGGATACTGCACGGTCCCAGACATTCCTAGCATGATTTATGAACTTATTCTTCATTTCTACCTCCGCGTAATTGAGCCATAATGTCGGCTCTCGGTAGAATATCTCCAATGCACGCTCCCACACGGAGCGAGCACGGTTGAAGTCTTTCTGGGACTCTTCCCACCTTGCATACTTCACCCAGACGCCTTTGTTCCACCTCACACGGCGGATTAGGTCTTCAAACTGCTTGCGCTTCTGAATTCGGTAGTCGGAGAGCTCACTGAAGTCGGTAATTTTCTGCTTTGGCGGCCTTATTTCTGCCTCCTGTCTCTCCCGGGACTCCCGAAGAATCTGTTCAGCGGTGATCTGAATCGGTGCCGGCGTCTTGTTCTTGACCCGGGTAGGCCTCGGAAGCTTGACCTCAGTCTCTTTCAGGGTCAAATACCCTAAATTCGGATCTGATTCTTTTTCTCTCACCATATTGGTGTACTTTCGAATGGAAGCCAGATGGAGAAGACAATCTGCTGCTATATCTATCTGTCCAACATGCAATCAATAACTTCTGAGAAAAGCTAAAAATACATTCATCTGATAACTATTATAGCCAAAGACCGAACAAATGAACAGAGTGAACTACAAAAACCTAAAACCCTAAACAATGCAAATACTGATCCTTGAAAAACAAATTACAGTAGAAAAGCCAAATATAAAACCTAAAAACCTGAATAATGCAATCAATAACAAATAAAAAACGTACTGTCCTAAGGAATGAGCACACAAGCTTCAAAGGCCTAGGCGAGGCCAAGCAATAGCATTCAAAGACGGAAAATAAAATAAATCATTCAACGAAACCAATTATTCCAAAAGATAAGAAAAAAATCAAAGAAATCACACCTGGACCCCTGGAGAATTGAATCGCGTAATCGGAGATTAGATTAGGAATCCAATATGTGGATTGCTGCCGAGTCGCCGATGGACAACGGATCCTAGGTCCCTAGCAGCGCCGCCGCCGTCGTCGCCCCCTCCCGTCCTCCCTCCGTCGCTTCGTCCGCGTCTGGATCACGCTCCGATTGACCGATGATCTATTCTGCCTTCTCTGTTGCGCCTCACAAGAGTAGGCTGGGCCTGGCCGTAGAGAGGAGCAAAAATTAAGACCTAAAACACTAAACTAAGATTGAGTATAGACTATAAATATTACCGGAGTAGGAGTGAAGCAGTCACACTAGGGTAGAGTTCCGTTTCTCTCGATCTTAAATCGTTTAATTTGATTTTATGTAGTATTTTTAAATTTATTTCAGATTCAATTGTTTTGATCTAATTTTAAAAAAAAATAAGCAGTAAAATAATAAAATAAATTAAATAGAACGCAACTTAACCTGGTCTGAGATCTATACTCTTAAATTCAAGGATAAATAGTACGAACTGTAAATAGAATTTCGTACTAAAAATGACAATTTGGTATAGAATGTACTCCATCTCTCCCATTTTAAATAACATGGTTTCTTTTTTGTCTGTCCCAAAATAAGTTATTTGTTTCTTATAATAATAAATTTTTAAGAGTAAAATACCTAAATTTTCCCTAACTATTCCTAAAATAAGTCGAGCAAAAAGACTTCTTCTTTGGGTCAACATTTGATCATGTGTCCAAAAATGAGAGCGAGAGCCTCTACCTTGAGGACGAGGTAACTTTTAAGAGGGTGAGAATGATATGTATGGTGATTAGCATATTTGATTAATTATTAGTTAATTGGTATTTATTATTTAATATTCCATAGTTAATACTCTTTTCATTCCATAAAACTCTTAGCTTCCCCTTTTGTTTTTTTTCCAATTCTCTAAAGCACTTTCACTTTCTATTAAAAAACCTCTTTTATCCTTATTTTTTCATACTTCATCTATTACATCACATTTTTCACTAGTAACTAAAGTATCAAATTTTACTTTTACCTATCACATCAAAGACAAAATTTGGAAGTCAACCAAAATTACAATTTCCTTATTTTTTGCCCAAAATCAAAATGGGGAGAGTTTAAAGGAACGGAGAGAGTAGGATTTAGAGTTTTAGTATGGACTCGAGCCCATTAGGTCAATTATGATGTTCTCTCCTCTCTATATGTTGTAACCCCATGTCACTATTATTCAGGCAATAGGAATATTATAAATCTTAATTTCTCTTCTCTTTTCTTGGTGTTCGAAAACGCTCGAAGTTTTTCTTCCCTCTTTGCATCCCTTTTCTTAGAGCCCGAAATTCCTCCCTATCCGATACGATATCCGTATCAATATATTGTGATATCCTTTCCTTTATATATATAAAGCAAAGTCGGAGATATAAGAACGTGACATTTGGCAGAGTTAAAGCACGATATGTGGCGAGCTGATGTGGTGACATTTGGCAAAGTTAAAGCGCGACATGTGGGCGAGCTAATATGTCACCCTTTTAGACAAACCGATCGGTTTGACCAGTTAGACAAGTTCTTTTTTTGCAATTTTTTTCCAAAAGCATACCACCATGGGGTTTGAAACAAGGATCTCTTGGTCATTTAATTGAGTTGCTAACCATCCAAGCTAGGGTGCTTTTTGTTACAATCTCACTTAAGCTTTTATAATGTTTCATAATTAAAAAAGAATTGTATAAAAATTTCTTTTTAGTTATAAAAAATATAATCCTTTAATATAATATTTGAGACTCTGTTTGCTAAAAAGTCGCCAAAAGACAAGCTTATGTGGGCTATATTAAGGTGAGATGGCAAGTCTTTATTGGTTGCTTATGTGGCAAATTTTATTAATGATGAATTGACCTTTCTTTTTATTTTAAAATAGAAATTTAATAATGATTTTAAATTTTGGAAAAATTTTACGTTAAAAGATTTAGTAGAAATAAAGAATTCACTACTTCCTGACATTAGTTGAGTATTTATATTTTTATTTTTAAAAAGCAATTCATCTATTTATTTGTTATGATGTGATAAAATTAATTATGTTATAAAATCAAATTTGTGAAAGATAAATGTAGTATTGTCCGAAATAATTTTTTTAAAGGAAACCAATTATATAAAATATAATTTTATGATAAAAATTATTATGATGTAGCAAACAATTAGTGAAAATATAAAATTGGTATTATCAGTTACCATTTCAAGACTAGCATTTTTTACGAATCAAATTTTTAACTAAGTGCATACACAAAAAACAAAATTTTGATAATGATATATTCTCATTTAAGAGTATTCTTATAGAAAAAAGAGTCAATTTTTAATTAGTGCAAAGAGCCAAGGAGAGAAAGAATCACATTAATGCATCATAGAAATTAAAATCATATATTTCCGTTAATGTAAATTAATCTGGCGGAGAAGAATCATGATTTTTTTATATTAAAATTACAAGATCGGAAATCTAAGTTTGTTAAATAAACGCAGGGGAGAAGAATAATAAAATCACCAATGTTTTTGTCGTTTATTTTTTGAATTCAGGGGGTGAGAAGAATTATATATTTGTAATAATTTAGTAAACCTAGATTTTATGTGTGTGTGTGTGTGTGAAATTTAAATGGTATATAACATAAAAAAATTAAGTTGTTTAAATATTTGATATTGTATAATAAAAAACAATTTAAATGGATATTCAATTTAAAATATTGTCATTTGAATGTAATGATTTTGTGCATGTTTGCACTCTTTTGAATTTCAAATGAGAAGCTTGCTTCATGCACATATCTTAATATAGTTACACTAGAGGGATAAACTTCAATCGCTTGAGTTAATTGATCGTGTGACATGTGTAGTAGTTCATAATAAAGATAAATATCCTAGATTTTATGAGTTCGTACCTCGATTATTGATGCATGATCCATGTAGCATAAATGATCTTAGATCTCTATATATGGAGAATGATAAATTTATGAAACATTTTCCCAAAAAATTTCTTGATAAGACATCGTTTGATTGGAATAACTACCTGATATACAAAAGAAGAACCTTAAAGGTCACCACAATATAATGAAAAAGAATATCGAGTTGGATAATCGAATTGTTGTGACATACAACCCACAACTCTTGATGAGGTTTCAAGATCAAACAACATTGAACATTGAAATAAATCTAATTCAATCAAATATCTCTTTAAATATGTAAATAAAGATCTAGATAAAGTAACTGTTGCAGTTACCCAATCTAACTTTGGCATTGTTGATATTATGGTGTATTATGAAACAAATAAGTATTCTGATTGTCATTACGTATCTGCATGTGAAGCCTCTTGGATAATCCTCTCTTTTGATATACAACAAAGGTAGTGATTAGTATTGAGATTGAATTTTTATAACCCAATGCTAAAATTCGTAACCTTTAGACACCAACAAAAACTAAAAGATGTTGTCGAAGAAATTATTGATAAAGCCTCAATGTTTGAAGCTTGGATGATTTTCAATACAAAATATAATGTTGGATAAAATTTGACGTATGCAAAGAGTTTCGGGAATATTTTATGTACAACCACAAAGTGTGGAAATAGTTCAAAGGCAACAACGACCGTCAATAGGCAGACTACAATACGTGCTTACAGAAACTAGAGAGTTATACTACTTGAGAAGTATTAAATGTCCAACAAGGATGTTCAAATTATAAGCGCTTGAGGACAGTTAACAATGTTTTACATAATGCATTCAAGGAATAATGTGAAGCATTAAGGTTATTAACCGATGATAAAGAATTTATTGAAGGTATGAAAGAGGTTGTTAAGTCAAGATGTGGGAATCTGCTGAAAAAGTTGTTCGTCACATTATTAGTGACAAGTACCATGAGTCACCCACTAATTTTTTTCAGAAAAATGAGAGATGTAATGAGATTTTTTAATAATAACTTCATAAATGAACCATTCGGAGGGAAAACAGCTATACTCGGAGGTGATTGTATCCAAATTCTTTCAGATCTACTCATAGCGTAGAGAGAGGAAATTGTGGGTGCTACCACCAATTCTCACAAATGTGATTGTAATGTAAAGTTTATAGGTTAGCTAAGAATATGAGAATACATTTATCTACACGTTCTTGCACTGATAGAGACACATAATCTTTTTCTGTATTGATAAGCAAAGTCAAAGATGGAAAACTTGGACAAGTGATCGATGAAACTGCTGACGTTGAAATCCCGCTTGAATTCTTGATGCTTGACACAAGTTACCCCCTCAAGAGTATAGTGGACTTTACTTATCCAAACATATTAGAGAACATGAAAAATTATTCTTTTTTTAGGATAGTGCATTATTAGCACCCACAATCGAATTTGTTAAATGACAAATGAATTTGTCATATCCCTTATTCTAAGAGGTAAAAAAGAGTACTTACGTTCTCATTCTTCATGCCAAACATATTTAGATGTAGTTGTTGAAGACGATTAGATAACAGTTCAATTCTTCTTAATGAAATCAAATGTTAGGGGATTCAAACCATAAAATAGTTTTNTGGACTTTACTTATCCAAACCTATTAGAGAACATGAAAAATTATTCTTTTTTTAGGATAGTGCATTATTAGCACCCACAATCGAATTTGTTAAATGACAAATGAATTTGTCATATCCCTTATTCTAAGAGGTAAAAAAGAGTACTTACGTTCTCATTCTTCATGCCAAACATATTTAGATGTAGTTGTTGAAGACGATTAGATAACAGTTCAATTCTTCTTAATGAAATCAAATGTTAGGGGATTCAAACCATAAAATAGTTTTTAAAAGGGGATACCGATTATGTTATTGAAGAACATTGACCAAATATATGGATTGTGTAATGGTAAAAGATTAATTATTAAAGAGATGTGAAAGAACATTATCAATGTAATTGATGTTTCGAGAAATCGCGTTGGAGAAAAAAGTTTACATACCCTGAATAAAATTTGGTATCATCTGATAGAATTCTCAATATAATAGTCTTATATTTTGCTATGACTATAAACAAAAGTCAATGTCAAACATTGTCCTTTGCTATATTATCTTTAACCAATTCGGGATTTACTCATGGTTAGCTTTATGTTACAGTTTCACGAGTAAAGAAAAAGACATGATTAAAAATATTGGTTCTAGATGAAAATAAAAATGCTTAGAACGATACAAAAAATGTTGTGTACACTAAAGTCTTTCAAAAAATTTGGAATTAAAAAAGAATTTTTCGAGTACACTTTCAATTTCTCAAATATTATATTCTACTTTGTCATTGTTTTCCATTGATTAAAATTTGTGACAGAAATATATTTACTTGATTTTGGAATAAATATTTCATTGAAAAATTTCAAAATCGACAACAGTTTCGTTCGACCCCGTGCATCGCACGGGTCAAAATACTAGTGAATTCAATATCAATAAGCCCATTTTGAAACATAGCTTTGAAATATTATATTTTTATAATATATACTTCCTCTCTCTCACTTGAACCTTTATGTATACTATTCAAGAGGTCGAACTCTATACACGTTGTTTCTTTATTTTTGTTACTTAATTTATAAAATAAAATAATCATGTTATATTTAGTTTTGTATATATATATTTTGACATCGTAGTTTTTAAATATATAATTTTTATTTTTTAATTTTCAACCTACAATCAATAAATTGAATTGAAAATAAAGTTAGTCAAGTTTTGTAATGCGAACGAGAAACATTCAAATAAGATGAAGAGAGTATTTACTCTGAGGCCTTAAATAGTTTTTGATGAGAGTATTTAGATTATGTCATTATTTGTCATTAAGTACGGAGACTTTAGTGACGATTTGTACTTGTATTAACGAACATTTTTCTTGTGACGAAAGATATTGATGTTTAAAATATTGCGATATTGAAGACGGTAAAGTGTCAACTGAAAGATTAGGGAGATCGGAAAAGTGATTATCAACCTCAAAATTTGAGACTAGTTCTAAAGTACAAATACTTTGTACGGAGTACAAAAAAAGGGCCAAAAACATGTTTTTGCACAATGTTTTTCTTATTTTTTCCTCATTTTCAGGCCGGCACTAGGGATTATTAGATCATAATATAATCCGGTGCAATATTTATGAAGTTATTGAAGTGTGCTACAATCACACTAAATTTGTATCTCAACTTACAAATCAAGTGTAACAGAGACAACTTTATTCTTCCTCCAGAGTCTATACTGATCATAACGGGTCACATATTTGTTCTGCTAGGCCCGAAGTCCAGCAGAACCTTCGACTCGGCCCCCCACGGCTTGATCAGAACAACGGCATCATAATAATTAGCCCTCCCGGAGTTGCCGCCGGACACGGAAGCCGCGGAGATCTTGAGGAAGTACTTGATCCCGGAAACCACCTGCGTCTCCGCCTCGACCACCTCGGAGAAGCTGAGCAGTGGGGCGGTGGGGGGGCGGCGGCGGTCCTCGTTGTACTGTCGAACACAGTATCTCCCCAAGTCCTGGACCTCTTGGTTGCTCTGCACGTCCTTCACCTCCCTCCTGCCGCCCACCTTATAATCCCTTCCGCCGGCGGCGGCGGTTCCGAAGATTAGAAGCAGGCACAGGGAAATTACGAGACGGCGGGGGAGCTTATTAGTATGGCTACAATGGAGTCCAATAATTAATGGTTTTGCTGATTCCTCCATTTTTATTTTTTGGTAAATAAAGAAGAGCAAGGTGAGTATATATTCAAGTGATGATGAGAGGTTTCGTAATGATAAGTTGAGGACACGTGTAGACCAGTTGTTGCCGTGGCGGCATATACGAACTGCCGCTTATTTATAAAAAAAATATACTTTCTCGTACTTTTAATCATCCAAAACCTAATTCCCGGGTAAAATTCATTGTCTCTATTATCTTTTCATCACTATCTTCCCAAAAACTGATGTTAGGTACTTTCAATTTTTTAGAAGTAATTTCTAAGTCCCATCATTTTAAAAAAATACTCCCAATATCCTAAAATGTTCAAAAACTTGCTCTGGTGGAATTTTTCTTTTTCTCCTTAAAATAAATTCCACTTGATTGTTTGTTTATGATAAGTTAAAATGAAGTTAGTTTTGAATATATTTCTTTCAATGTTGATATGAAATAAAAAAACAAACAAAATATTTTAAAAATTACATTAATCATTTATTTAAAAAAAAGAGATGGTTGGGTTATAATAATATACAAGTATAAAAAGTTTGTTATACATAATTTTGTAAGTAATTTTTTTAATTTTATAGTTTTAGTTAATTACAAAAAAGTTTATACTTTACAGGCTTTTAGATGCTTTATCATTTAACTGTAAAAATATATCATTTTTATTAGCTTTTAGGATATGATACTTTATTTAAGTAAATTATATAATGTAAGTGATTAAAATAAAATTTTATTTCCGTTTATAATATGATCAAATGAATTATATTATTTTATTTATTTTAATATAAAAAATAAAATAAAAAATAGCTCTTAGTTAATACGGAGTATTCTATAAAACAAGAAGTGTCTAGATTATTTTTTAAATGATCAACTTTATAAATCAAGTAAATTTTAAAAAATGTTTTCATAAGCTGTCTGCAATGTGTGGCTATAATTTCTTCGTTATTTCTGAGACAACAAAGATCATTGATAGGCCGCCTGCAATGTGTGCCAATAGGAATAGAAAAATTATACTACTTGAAAATACAATTAGCGGTCTAACGAGGATGTACAAGCTATCAGAGCTTGAAGACAGTTACTAATAATGTTATACAAACAAAACTCATTCGACAATGCATGTGAAACATTGGAGTTATTAACCAATAATAACGAATTTATTGAAGATATAAAATAGACTACTGCGCTAGGATCTCGAAATTAACTAAGAAAGTTATTAGTCACATTATTAGTGACAAATATCACAAGTCGTTCTTAAGTTGTTTGAAAAAATCATGGGAGCTCTTGATTGATATGAGACTTTATTTGATTGATGAAACTGTAAAAACAAGATCTTTCTATAAAAAGGTAATTTTTTATTTATATAAAGATCAATATGAAATGTACTCAGTGTGATATATATACAAAACTTTAGACTTGAAATATGGGTTAAAATCTAATGATTTAGAGGGTGTTTGGGATTGTATTTGAAAATAACTTATAGTTTCTACTTTACTAAAAAACAATTTTAAATGTTTGCTAATCTGCTTTAGCTTTTAAATTATGGATTTAGAAGTTAAAATTAAGGTCTAGAAGTGTTTTCTAGCAAAGCTAAAAATGCATGTTTTCTGTTTTTAAATTATGACTTTACTTTTACATAACTCACAACACTCTCAAACACCCTCTTAGTCCCATTTTAACCATTTTTGTAGAACTTATTATTTTTCAAGAAGATCTAAAAACTTTATGTTTGGTTGAGATTGAAAAATTACTTAATTCAAATAGATAATCCTTATAAAAGTTTAGTGATATGTCATTCCGAGATGACAATCCACTTAATAGATTTTAAAATAATATCTTGCTAGAGGAGTTGAACGTACTATGACAAATAAAAGTTGTCATATGATATTAAATATGCCCTCCGTCATAAATCCAACTTCCTAGATTGACTAAAAACCATTTTTAAGGGATTGAGTAATATGGCTTTGACTTCCAAAAATGCCCCTCCATCTAAACCTAGAAACATAAAAGTTTTCTGTCTTTTCTAGTAATTGGTCGGGGTAAACAGTGGTCGGGCGGCCTGCTCGCCGGCGACTGACATCCCCACAATTATAAAGTCTGGCCCGATTGAAAAGTTTAGCTGCTAATGAAGCGGCATGTAAATGTGGCCAAATAAGAAAATAATTGATGAGTAACAGATTGAATAACCAATCAAAAAAGAACTGAATTCTGATTAAAAATAATTTCAAAAAAAACTATAGACGGCTATAAAAAAACATACCTAGGACAATTTCCGATTGAAAGCAGCGACTAATGAAGCTCATCATCATCTCCAATTCCGTGAAGCTATTTAGACTTTGAATCACAAATCAGCGACCTTACTACTCCTACCGGCGTCCTTCCTACAACCCCAATCCCTAGATGCCGAGTGGAGATGTTAAGATGCCGAGGTTCTGAGTGTGGAGGGGAGCTGATGATGATGAGACGATATCAAGAACGGTGATGGTTGCAACTTTGATCCCTAGATTAGATCTAGGTTTTGAGGAGGGAAATTGAAAGAGAGATGAAGATAAGAGGGAGAAAGAATGTGGATAGAGTGGGAAGGTTGGTGAGTAGATGTTGTAAGGGTAGCATTGTCATTTTACACCCTTGTTTGGGATGTGAGAAGGTAGTTTTAGGACATTAAAAATGAAGAAGTGGAAAGATAATTTTAGGACGAGGGCATAATATATATCTACAATGAATGAAAACAAGAGAAAGATATATGACGATGAACGCTTTACATTTTGTTATAACTATTGATAAAAATCAATATCAAATATTATCATTTATTGTATTATTTTTAATTGGGTTGAGGTTACTCTTAGTTAACTTTATGTCATTGTTTTACCAGTAAAAACAAAGATAGGATTAAAAATATTAATTCTAAATAATAACGAAAATCCTTACAACCACACCAAAATGTTATATTCTTCTAAGGCTTTCAAACAAAATATGAATTTTAAAAAGACTTTGAGGTGTTTGCTTTTGAATTTATATACAAGCATTTTTTTAAGGAATTATTAAATTCCAAATTATTTATTTTACTTTGATTTTAATGTCTACAAAGTTAAAGAACACATTACATATATTTTCATACTCATTTAAAAAATATTACATTGAAAGTAATTCAAAAAATCAATAAAAATTTTGTTCGACTCCGTGCATGACATGAGTTAAATTACAAGTAGAGTAATAGACATGAGATTAAAACTCCAAAGTTAAAAAAACCCAAGTACTGCTGATTCACATCCACTTCTTTCCGGAGCCCATAAATTTTAAAAAAAGCCGTTGAATACAAAAACAAATCAATACAAACAAAAAGATTGAAGAATTATTCGAACGCACTTTCTCTCTGTTCACGCCTTTTTTCAACTGGATTCAAAATCCCCCCTCCGGCCCCAGCCATAGCTCTCTAACGGATACTTCTCTCGTCTCTCTCTCTTTCTCCGGCCAGTTCGCCGCCGTCATTCTCCCCTCCGCTCTCTCCGTCGCCCGCAATGAAGCCGATAATGCATACTAGGAGCGCTATCTTGAGGGAGAATCACGAGGCCTTGGCGGCATCTCCGAACCCTAGCTCTGTCAAGCAATTGCCGAAATGGTCCACGCCGCCGCTACCGAATTCCAGTAGCAGGAAACCGAGATCGTCCAAGGAGAATGCTCCGCCGCCTTCTCCAGATCCGTACGCATCACCTTCGGCCGGGGCTAAACTTAAGAGTCCGCTTCCTCCTCGGCCGCCTAACTCCAATCCCCTGAAGCGGAAGCTTATTGTGGATTCGGCTGGGTCTGAGTCTTCCGTTCCTGGCTCTTCTGACTCTGGAGTCAAAGTAATTTCTTCATATCAGATCCTCTATTGTCAGATTGTTCTTATTTCATTCATATATTGTCATTATTTCATCACTCTTTACTTTTTTTTTAAACTCAGAATTTATCAATTGAAAGTAATCGTTTTCTTTATAAGATATGAATCTTGAAATTGTTTCGCAATGATGTGCCCTAGTCCCTAGAAACCACAAGCTTCTGCTGCTTTTGTTTCTTGGCACTACACTACTTAGGATTTTTATATGTCTGCGAGTATATTTTAAACTTAAATATTGATTTTTGTGAGTTATCTGTCCTTAGATCCAGTGAGTGCCTGGTGCTTTCTAATAATGATTTTTATTTAAATCTATGTCATCCTAAAATTTTTAGACTGGTAACTTAGAAACAAGAAAGCTGCAGTAGAGCCGGAGTAACTTATTTTAGTTTCATACAGTCCTGACTAGAATCTATGCCAGGTTATAGTTAGAATGAGGCCACCAACTAAAGATGAGGACGCGGGAGACATGACAGTTCAGAAAACTTCTAGCAACTCTCTTTTGATGTCTGGACAAATTTTTACATTTGACTCTGTGGTAGATACTCAATCGACACAGGCAAGCTAGCATTATGTTGTTGCTTTCAATTTCTTTCACCAGTTTTTATCCAAATCGGTAAAGAAAAAGAGCATTCAGATTTATCTCATTGTTTGTTTTTCAGCTTGATATATTCCAGCTTGTGGGAGAACCACTTGTCGAAAATTGCCTAGCTGGGTTTAACAGCTCCGTCTTTGCTTATGGACAAGTATGTTGTTTCTGATTCTTGTAACCTATCTATTTTGGACTGTCAATTTCACTAGGACTGTTCTGCCAGTCGGTGTCGTTTAGAATGCTATATAATGCACGTATGTTGCATTTATTAGACTGGGAGTGGAAAGACATATACAATATGGGGACCAGCCAACGCCCTGTTGGAGGATAACCTATCAAGTGATCAACAAGGCTTGACACCACGTGTTTTCCAGCACCTTTTTACAAGAATTGAACAGGTTAGATTATTTTTTTAACTTTCAGCTTGTGATATGCTATTAAATTTGGCATAATGAGATTTAATTTCGTTCTTCAGGAGCAAATTAAGCACGCTGACAAAGAGCTTAAGTACCAGTGCCGCTGCTCTTTTCTTGAGGTAAGTGTCTTCTTATGATCATTTTTCATGAAAAAAATGTTTGCAGTTTTAATCAATTTGTTGTATGTAAAATTTCAGATTTACAATGAACAAATCACTGATTTGTTGGATCCAAACCCAAGAAACCTACAGGTAATCCTAAAATGGATCCCCGTCACACTTGATTTTAATTGTGCTAGCATTTCTCAAACAGTGCCTCACTTTTCAGATTCGAGAAGATGTGAAAACAGGTGTTTATGTTGAAAATCTTACGGAGGAATGTGTTTCTACTACGAAGGATGTGAAACATCTTTTGTTAAAGGTCTGCGATATGTAATTACTTTTTCATATTTTCTATTGTCATGAGCATGAATCTAGTCACTGGATGTGCTAGACGATTGACCAATATCCTGATGCTAATGCACCAATTTTAAGATCTTTAGCCTATCCATACTCATGTTTTCATTTTCTGATGCCAATATACTATGTTTATTAAATGTATTGGTCACTATTGGGTTGTACACTTCCATGCATATGTATAAGTGAATGGATTGGGTGTAATTCCGAGCAATAGATATGGCATGTGGATACTGAAAATAATGAGTTATATACGTTGGATGCTTTATATGGATGACCAAAATACATTTCTCTTTTAGGTTTGAATTCTTATGTCCGTTTATTTGTTCACTATTTTGTAATCATATTTGCATGTCAGTGTCTCACATTTGTATGGAGGGAGTATGCATTTAGCTTTTAAATTCTTATTGTTTGTATTTGCTACAGGGATTATCAAACAGGAGGACTGGAGCAACAAGTATAAATGCTGAGAGTTCCCGTTCACATAGTGTATTTACATGTGTGGTTGAATCACGATGCAAGGTAACATTCTCCTGCTGACTACATTTACTGCAGAAAATTATTTTGCTATCTATGAGATGTAGGGAACATTGAATTTCAAGATAACCCTGGCTTTACACGTACTATAACCAACCTATTTGATGCTCTAAGAGATCTCCTTGATTTGTTTATATACTTGATAGTGTCATTCCTCTTTGCCTGGTGCCCCCCTATTCTTTTACTTATCTAATTTGTGTTTCAATTGATAGAGCAAGGCGGATGGATTATGCAGCCGGAAGACAAGCAGAATAAATCTTGTTGATCTTGCTGGATCTGAACGTCAAAAGCTTACTGGTGCAGCTGGAGAGAGATTGAAGGAAGCAGGGAACATCAATCGATCTCTTTCACAACTTGGGTATGGGACAGATTTTCAATAGTCAGTATCTTGGTGCCTACTGTATGTTTTTTTGTGCTATATGCAATTCAATCTTATTTTATGCTTTGAACATTTATCAGCATTTTTGTTGCAACTTCACTCATCCTTGTCTAGATTACTCTGTGTAGTGATGTCTTTCAAATTAGTTCAATAGTTCAGGCCCTATTTCGTCAAACATACCTACTGTCCTTTTGAATTACTCCGTAGATAATAAAAGAATGCCCTGAAAAAACTTAGAGCATGCACTAATGCTCTTTCTGATGATCTTTATTGAAGTATGAGAAAAATATGTTGGTATAACAGTACATAAGCACCCGGTGGTCGCCATGTGTAGAGAAAGATATATGCAGTTTCTTGAAAGAAATTTCATTTTTATGTGCATATCTTTCTAGTGTAGATGTTTACAGCACTGCACTTGTATTCTAATTTTTCTTTGGAAAAAAGTGATGTCTGAGAAATCAGTAGTTGTCTTTGGGTCGCTTCTTAAGATAACGTCACTCTTCGATGCCTTGGTTGAAGTATGATAAATACTTCCTCCATTCTTAAAAGATTGAAATGGTGGAAATTTTACACTGTTCGTACTCTCTCATTTTATCATTTTTTGTGGTTCATATCATCATATGTAAGGAGAAATGTAGCTTGTGCACGATCTTGTTAGATTCGTCTTGATATGAACTTTGGTAATATCATCTTTTTATATTTTTTACTAAAACATAATTGAATATATTAATGATTAAATTTATGCATTCACTAGCGTGAAAAAGCAAGTGTTGCAACCATTTAAAAAATGGAGGAAGTCGATATATGATGATAAGCAGTCAGTATGTGCATTAAAAAATATCTGCAGCTTCTTAAATTATGTGCCTATCTTTCTAGTGTAGATGTTTATGGTACTGCAGTGTATTCTATTTCTTCTTTGGGAAGAAAGAGATGTCTAGAAATCAGTGGATGTGTTAGGGCTGCATCCTAAGCTATATATACTCTTCTAGTGGAGATTTCTAGGTTACTGTAATTTTTTTTCATACTCCATATATTTTTGGTATGTGCTTCTAATTTCCATTATTTCTTGACTCTCATAGGAACTTAATAAACATTCTTGCGGAAGTTTCACAAACAGGGAAGCCAAGGCACATTCCCTATAGAGATTCCAAGTTGACATTTTTATTACAGGAATCACTAGGCGGGAATGCAAAACTGGCAATGATCTGTGCCATTTCTCCGGCACAAAGGTGAGATTAGACCCGCTAATGTTTTTTTTCCTGCATATTTTATTGTCTGCTATCTAGTTCATTCTCAAAGTGTGTGAATTTCATATGAAAAATGCAGCTGTAAGAATGAGACTTTTAGTACCCTGAGATTTGCCCAGCGTGCAAAGGCAATTAAGAATAAGGCAGTTGTCAATGAAGAAATGCAGGATGATGTTAATTTCTTGAGAGATGTTATACGGCAACTTAAGGTATATAGTATGTCTTCTTATCAGTTCTCTGATTTCTCTCCTATAATATTCTTGTTTAAAAATAAAGAGTGGTGGGTAAAGGTAAAGAGAATGTAATTCCCGTGTGATATCAACAAAATACAACTCTCTTCATCTTGTTTACTCTTCTTCCTATTATATTCCAGTATAATAATTCTTTTTCTAAAGACGTTTCTTTCGTGCCTTTGATTTGTTTCTCGAACAGGATGAACTAGTTCAAATGAAGGCAAATCAAAGAGATCAAAATGGTAACTATTCTACTGGATGGAATGCCCGGAGAAGCCTAAACCTTTTGAAATTCAGCCTTAATAGATCAGCAGCATTACCTTTTTTAGATGATGATGGTGATACACTGATGGAAATTGTTGAAGAATCTGAAAGACGGGATCTTGAGCTCAATAAAGGAAATGTTGAAACAGGGAATGCAGCTCCTGAAGAAATATCTCATGAAGAAATAGATACAGAAAAAACTCCTGAGAAGTCTCCAAATTGTTTGAACGATGATTCAGCTTTGCCTAATCTCAGTATAGTTCCATGTGATGTTCTATCTCCAACACCAAGTGTTTCACCGAGGGTTAACACTGGCAGTAGGAAGAGTCTTAAGACAACATCAATGCTGACTGTCTCCGAAAAGAATCTCATAGAAAATGAGTTGGATGCCCCACATGCTCCCTTAGTAAAGCCCTCAAGCAGCACTTGCTTGAATTATCAGTCCAAACAAAGTAGAAATTGTTTCAAGACAACAGAGCATTTGGCTGCAAGTCTTCATCGTGGCCTTGAGATCATTGGCGATCATCATCAGAGTGCATCTTTGAGAAAGTCCTCATTTAGATTCTCTTACAAGCCTGCTGAACTTAGAGCAATATTACCCATTGCTAAAGTTGATGTGGGTGTTCAAACTGATCTAAATGGCCCTGAACCACTCGAAGAGGGTTCAATATATTTATGCAGTAATTGCAAGACAAAAAATTCTTTGCATGAACTTAATGGTATTAATGATAGCTCAAACCTGCAGTTGGTACCTTTTGATGGGTCACAGTCCAGTGACAAATTCAAGGTTCACGTTCCTAAAGTAAGTGTATAATTCCTGGAGTGGATTTCAGATCTTATTTTATAATTGGTGCTTGTGCGTATCATTAACTGTTTACTACTTCTCAGGCAGTGGAGAAGGTTTTGGCAGGAGCTATACGGAGAGAGATGGCACTGGAAGATATGTGTTCCAAGCAAAGCTCGGAAATTAGGCAACTAAATCGCTTGGTAAGTTATCCGGTTAATCAAAAAGTTTGTATTTTTATTTGCAATTATTTGATCTTTCCTTTTACCACTGAACTCAGATTCAGCAGTACAAGCATGAGCGAGAATGCAATGCGGTAATTAGTCAAACACGTGAAGATAAGATTGCACGCCTGGAGAGCTTGATGGATGGGATCCTAACAACTGAGGATTTTGTAGAAGATGAAGTGCTGTCCCTAACCCATGAGAACAAGGTATGCTTCTGCCCTTTTGGTTCCACTTGGAACCCGATATATGCTAGACAGCTAGAGAAAGAAAATTTGAAGGATAGGGGGGAATTGGAAAGAAAATGTGGGATAAAATAAAAGACACGCTAAAACTCTAAATGTATCTTACATATTTGTTGTGAAATTCATTTTTTTTATTTAGGTCTAGTACACAAAGTCACAAACACAACTCACCAAATTTATTCAAAAGACAAGAACATTACATGGCACATTACTTATATTCCCTAGCACTTTCCAGGGTCAGAACCTACATTACATGGCACATTACTTATATTCCCTAACATTACATCCTAACTTTAGGTATGTGGATACATTTTTATCTAATTATGCATTGTTCATTTGACTTCAGATTCTGAAAGAGAAATATGAAAACCATCCTGAACTGTTAAGCTCAAAAATAGAACTTAGTCGTGTTCAAGATGAGCTGGAACGGTATCACAACTTCTTTGATTTGGGTGAGCGAGAAGTTCTAATGGAGGAGATTCAGGATTTGAGAAGCCAACTTCAGTTTTACGTGGACTCTTCATCTAAGACGACAAAAAAACAAAGTCCAGTGTTGCAATTAACATATCCATGTGAGCAAAGTGTGGGTACAACACCCATTTCTGGCAGTCCAGAACTATTGGTAGAGGAAACTGCTGAGCATAAACTTGAAAGGGAAAGATTGCAATGGAGTGAGACAGAGAGTAAGTGGATCAGTCTCGTGGAAGAATTGAAGTCAGAACTTGAAGCAAGCAGAAAACTTGCTCTTAAACAAAAGACTGAACTAGAAATGGAGAAGAAGTGTTCAGAAGAGCTGAAAGAAGCAATGGAGATGGCAATGCAGGGTCATGCAAGAATGCTTGAACAATATGCCGACCTGGAAGAAAAACATATACAGTTGCTCTCTAGGCACAGGAAGATTCAAGATGGGATAGAAGATGTGAAGAAAGCAGCTGCCAAGGCAGGGGTAAGGGGTGCGGAATCTAGATTCATAAATGCTCTTGCTGCAGAAATCTCAGCACTTAAAGTTGAAAGAGAAAAGGAGAGGCGTTTTTTCAGAGACGAAAACAAAGGACTTCAGTCTCAACTAAGGGATACTGCTGAAGCTGTCGAGGCTGCTGGTGAACTGCTTGTCCGGCTTAGAGAAGCTGAAGAGGCCGTTGGAGCTGCTGAGGTAACTTTTAAAATTTGATTTTATAGTTCATTTCTCTTTTAGTTACGGAGTATGTCATTATTTCTAAACATGGCGGTTGTGTTATGCGTTCTTAGTTTCTTACTCCGTGTGAATACTTTGTATTATCCTTTTAGCATTGTGCTTTAGCACACCTCATGCGATGTTTTTTTTTGGGGGGGGGGGATTGCAGTGTCTCAAAATGACATGCTGTCTTAAGTTGTTTCTTCATAATGAATGGATTTGTGAAACTTCTCTCAAACTCTTGGAAGGTGTAAGGCTATAGGAATGCATCTTAATTGGGTAGAAGTAGATCTAAGGTGGCTTAGTAACCTTAGTTAGATAGAATTGCACGACCTCTTAAGTATCATAGTATGTGGCCTAGATAGGGGATGGCTCTCAAACGCAGCGAATGATGTTGCTTGATCCATATAGCCGACTCCACCCTGTGAGAAAGCTTTAGTTTGGTTTTGTTTGAAATCAAGTCTTTCAGGTTAGGTATCAACAATTAAACAGCTTAACTCATAGATTCCAAAAAAAAATTGTACGCCTTTATCACAACCGAGTTCTTTGCAAAGCAATGCCTAATTGCGTACATATAATTGTTGATCTTTTGACCGAAAAGACACTATATTCATATATTCTTGTCCAAGTGCTTCCAAACACACATGTGCTACAATTGTAATGCAATTCTATGTATGACGTGCAGAAGCGGGCCACGGGCGCCGAACAAGAAGCAAGCAAGGCATACAAACAGATTGAAAAAATGAAGAAAAAACACAAGCACGAAATCAACAATCTGAAACAATTGCTTGAAGAATCTACTCCCACTAGACTGCACAAACAAGGAGAAACTGTCCACGATTCAAAAGAGGCAACGTCACAGAACGACACTGCGGTGGATCAACGGTGGAAGGAGGAGTTCGAGTCGTTCTATCAAACGGAGGAGGAGCTCTCTAAGTTACACCCCTCTTCCTGGTTCACTGGCTATGATCGATGCAACATTTAATAGGACTTGAAACAAAAAAAAGAAAAAAAGAGGAAGAAAAGAAAAGAAGAGGAATTGTTGTATGTACCAATGTAAGTTTGTTGTTATACAAATCAGATGATATTTTTTTTAATTTCATTTTTTTATTTACCCCTAATTGTTAGATGAACCAACCAATACAGACATTTGTGTCTCTAATTTGATGATGTAATATTGGTTCAGAGGGGGGGCTGTTGTGGGACAATTGCTGTTCTGTGACCCTCCTGCTTCTTCCATTCATTAACTCACTTTTTCAGCTGCTCAAACACACACACACACACACTTCACGTGTGTTTGCTCACTTTGGGCACAACTGAAATGCCTGAGATTATCTGATGTGCTTGATTGATGCTGATATATTTTGCCCTAATTCTTTTATTTATTTATATTTATTTATGGTTTTTGATTTTGCAGGGACAAGAACACATGCATGCACAACAAATGGCAGCAGCGCTTGTCAAATATGTTTGCTGGCTTGTTGCTTTTTGGTTCTTCACTAACTTGCACTTGTCAAGTGCATCTTACCTTCCTCTTTGTCTATAGTGTAGTTGTGGATCAAGATTTTGAAAAACTATAATCTGTTTAAATATATATCATATGAGTTTTGAGTTCTGGAAGAAAGTATGCTCTCTCTGCCTCTAAAAGACTTTTATGGAGCTCAACGAAAAGGTAAATTGTGTGGTGGACGTTTATGCAGAGGAGAGAAATAACGTGAACGACTAGTTTCTTTCTCGATGCAACTGAGATTTCCAAAACCTTCAAAATGATATCTTCCAAAATTGAAGATACTAAAACGGTCATATTTGAAAGGTTTATGAGATCTCGATATATCAACTACGAGTAAAATCTTTGTTAAGAGTCGCACCAAATGCCCGTAACAAATTGTGATATATTGAGAGACGTTAGAACATATACTCTTCTGTGGCTAATCAAACAAGCCCTCACGTTTAGCCACATTTGTTGATATAGAATGGCATCTACTCCGTACTCATAAATGTTTGCCAAACATGACCATTAAGGTTCGCTTCTGACATTTTCTGTGAAGGACCATAATTGTTCATAATTCATCCATTCAAATCCAACACCAAGTACTAGACATCACTCCAAGAGAGAAATTGTCAATATAACCTCTCAGATTCATCTTAAGTGACAACATTTGACAACCGATGTATAGAGTGTATTCCATAATTTGTTTTTTTCTAAATACTCCATATTAAATACGGAGTACAACAGTATTGTTCTCTCCGCCCTTAAAAGATCTCACAATTCTAAAATCACGAAAACTTTTATTTATTGGTGTATTTTTATTGATTATTTGATAAAATAAAATATTCTTGTCAAATCTTGTTTTGTAGAACTTTTAACGTAATTTTTAAATATGCAAATATTATTTTTTATTTCTATACCATTTTTAATTAAAGTAAATTGAAAAAATTTAAAACTTTTAGGGATTATATAAGGATTAAGCCACACTTGCTTTTTCAGTAAACTACTCCCTCCGTCCCAAAATATTTGTCACACTTGCTTTTCAGCAATCGCGGGAACTTTTGTTTATTTCTACGTTTTCATTAGTTATTTGATAAAATAAAATATTTTTGACACCTCTTATTTCAAAGAACTTTTCACGTAGTTTTTTGATATGTAAATTTTATTTAGGGACGGATGGATTAACATTTTGTGTCACTGTGAATGATTAAAATGTCAATGCATTTCTTTAGAGTACAATTTGGAATACAACTTTTCAGTTTACCCCTAGCTAGCATGGTTAGATTATATAATTGCGCAAATTGCAATTTTTTTTTTGCGACGCACACCACCTCATATAATAAGGGGGCGGATTTGACCCAAGCAGGGATAAGGCGGGTCCCACGTGTAGGGGGGCAATGTTGGTTGAGTTAACGCCGGCCTGTGGCTAGTACTTCTCTGCCATTGCCATGGCATTACATTATTACGGAGTATTAGGGAGCATGCACAGCCTACTCCAAAATTTGTACATTATTTGTACACCAAAAGTATGCACTAACATTTTAAAGGTTGATACTGATACAAAGTGTTGGTGCGTAACAAAAATTTACACTGTGTTACGTAGTAGTGTTTCTGGGCTGAAAAACTATTGTATTCTCTCTTGGTTATTTACAATACAATGGGAAGTATATATATACAGCAAGGTATTCCTAATAGGATTAGGAATTCTAAATAAAAGGAAGCTACCATATACAAGTCTAATACAAATCAAAGACTAATATTCTAATATTCCTTTTCCTTTTCTAACACCCCCCCTCAAGTTGGAGCATGTAGCAATGAAATGCCCAACTTGGGAATCAAGAATTCATGCCGTGCTTTGCCCAGTGCCTTTGTATGCATATCAGCTAGCTGATGTGTAGTGGAAACATGATCTGTCTTGATGACTCCTCGCAGTAGTTCGTCTCGAACAAAATGGCAATCGACTTCGATGTGCTTCGTACGTTCATGGAAAACAGGATTGGCTGCGATATGTAATGCTGCAGTACTGTCACACTTTATGGTCATAGGCTTCGAATGTTCAATCCCAAGAGAACCAAGTAGACTCTTGAGCCACTTTAACTCACAAGTG